TATCCATGGGAAGGTTCCATGATCGTAAAGGTAAACATTGTGCGATAATTTTTTTGGTCTGATTGGAAAGTTACAGTCTGATAAACTCCTTTTAGTTAGCATTCACCTATCCTCCTATTACGCAGTTGTGATTTCCTCATTTACCCTAGAATTGCACCCTGTTCATGACAATTACACATCCATCCTTAGGCACTTGAGCCAGATTGCGCGTTGCCACATTCTAAACCCAGCACCTGAAAAGAGCTTCAAGTGCTGAGACAGCAACATCTTCTAATCCAGTTGATTGATAATTCTAAGATGAAACTATTGTGGCAAATCACTACTTGTCTCAAAACGTGATTTTGGAGTAGACTCACATTTCTCATATAAGCTAGCACAAGATCTTTAACAGCCCCAGATATCACTAATATTAAAAGTGTCTACCTTTACACACACTTCTGATGCTGCAATGAAATCTGATAGTATCTCTACTCAAGGCGTTGACATTCTTGACCTCCACACATGGGCTTCTCTTCCAACAGGAGTAAGCATAGGACAGAGGCAATGACGTAAATGCCAACACCAGAAGAAGTAAGATTTGTGATGTGATAAGTAATGATGAAAAATGTTAACTAAATGTTTTTTCCGTGATTGCCGTGAATTGGGGACGCCACTTGGACATATATTGGAGGGCCAAACCCACCTTTCAAAATTGAAGAAAGCCAGAGGGTGAGGCAGAGCAAAGCTGACAAATTCTTTGTCAATGCTAACCCATAACTACCCTCACTACAGCACTATGTTGCTCGTAATGCTCACCAGAGATCCGTTTGAAACTCATTTTCTGTTTACAGGACCTGGTGAAAGTTGAGGATCTGATTGCTCTTGCCCCTAAAGTGTGTATCAACGCGCTCAATGTCCATCTGCAGGTAAATGAGCAAGTTTCGGGTCCTTCTAAAATAGCAGAAAATCTGAAAATTTTTCCATAATTGTAAATGATCATTCTCTTCCATCATCTATCCCACACCTACTTCCTCTTCCTTTGTATGGTCTACATTGCCTAATCCAAGTTAAACTGCCCTGGCTTCTTTTCCTATTCTGGCTAGAGTGGTGCTTCAGCAATTAAAAACAAAGAAATAGTGAATTTATTATCCATAGCAGAGCGTGGACGTGGTTCTGATGACTTTCATCACTTCAACACAAGGATCCCTCCCACCCATGCAAGGGGCAAATGGCCACCAGACTCGAAGTGCATGTAAGGTTGCATTGAACTATTTAACCGTACTTCTGGAGGGTGCAAGCAACCCTTATATTGATTGGTCAGTCTTTTTAATGGGATCCACTAAATCATAGTCATTTCTTCACTTTTTGATCCAATACTGCATTGGACACAGCTATCAACTTTATGTTTGTAAGATCATGTAAGTGACAGTCTCTCTTTTCTTCTGCCTCAAGCTGTTCACTCGTGCATTGGGGAATTAGTGTATAACAGTGGAAAAATTTGTGCAGTGATACCCATAGACCACAAATATTAAGATATGTCTTAGTGAGATCGCCATAGCAAGAATAGTTTCCGACGTTTGCGATTTTACCGTCAAAAATAACAATTAAATTGCAGATGATCAGCGTTATTTAACTGTCCGTTCGCAAAAGCCGCAATGTCTGCGAAAGGACTAAGGGAGGAAAGTACCCTGAGGAAATGCACCTAATGGTTGGGGCAATTGCGTGCTCTTCATTTTAGGCCGCAACAGGCTGCCACTGTTTGGATATACGTGCGATTAGTGTGCAGACGACTTTATCACAGCTAAACAGTTAGGAATGCTTATGATACAGACCCCATCTACTCACTTGACGTCAACCATAATTTATTCTGCATATGAGCTGCTATGTCTCTTGGGTATCTGCCTCTGTCATTACCTCAGTCTTACTTAAAATGTGCATTCGATGACACCGACTTGCCAAACGGAATTGTTTTTGGCATATTGTGTTAAAAGTTAGGTGAACCTTAGAGAGGTGGTCTATGAGTGAGCCACACCTGCAACTTCCATTGACGCGCTTCGTACCATAACTCAGTGACTTTCGCAAGAGCCAGAACTGTACGCTCTAACGTCATCGTTCATCTTTGTGTTTGTGACACGAAGTGGTAAGAGACCGCTTTTACATAAGCCTCCAAAAATACACGACATATGAGTGTGTTACTGATGTTCCAGAGATAAATGAGGCTTTAACTGTAGGCGACGCTTCTAGTGGACCTATATAACCTTTGCACAAGGCAATTCTTCTCAGTGTCATGACACGAAAAGTGTTCCCTCAATTGTATCAAATTTATCTTCGACTGACTACCGCCGTGGTAACGTTGCAGGTGACACCGCCGCCTTCTAAAGCCCCATTCTAATAACTGAATGAAGACCAAATTACCTGACAGTCAAATCTGGCATGCATTGACCAAGGAGCATGGATATATTATAACTGAGGGCTAACGACAAGTTGCATGCCAACCCGTTGTATCAATAAGCAAATCAATTCTACTGACAGTGTGGATTGACTTTGTTTGAAGGCACTTAAGGAATGCATTATTGAAAAGTATCACTAAAATATTTTACCTCTAGTGGACTCTGGAAGAATACTTCTGTGTTTTTAGTCACTTTGCCAGTACATTTTTTATTCTTGGGCTGAAAATTGAAATACCCATCTGCGAAAGTGGTAAGTAGCAATGTTCTCTCAGTGCTGCATAAAATCCTTAAACTCTGCACATTGTGTGGATTGAACGGAGTGGCTACACACTAGTCTTCATTGCAACGATCTCACATTTCATTGAAATGGAAACAGAAGTTTCCCTAGTCTAAGTAGGAGCTCGAATGTATGAGAGGAAGATGGGGGAGCAGAAGGTATTAGAAAATGCCAACACATTCGTTGCGCGGGACTCGTAGAACCTGAAATGGAAGCTCACCTACCAGTGCCTTCAGTAATGTGAAGGTGATGCAGGATGCTGACAAGGATATAGGTGGTCACAAGGCTCAGCCTCTCAAGAATCACATTACGCACGTCTAAACGAGAAGATACCTTGATTATCTCACACCGTGCAGTAAAATTTCGGCACAATAATTGTTTATTTGTGCCTGAAATTGGACAACTGACAAAGTGAAAATTGAGGCAAATTGTAAAACCTCCGCAAATATGAATTAACGTCTCCTGCCTACACCCGAATTATCTTGGCCATGCTTCTCCTCCTCTTTTCTCGATTCTCTTCTTTATATCTTTTCTACCTTCACTATTACCACCTGCCCCTTCTCCACCTCCTTCTATCCCCTCCTCCTCTAAATTCCTTATTTATCATCTGTGTATTTACTTATACAATAATTTTTAGTTTAATTTTTTCGCCATTTCTCCTTTCTATGAAAAATTCTGCAATTACTTCATACAGGCATGCTAGTCGATTCTAGTCTCTCTCACATCCTTTCTTCGCCTCTTCCATTCCCACTCCCTCTCTCCCACTCATCCTTCCTTTTTACTCCAGTTTCTTCGAAATGTCTTCTCTCTCCTTGACTTTTATCTCTTCCTCTATCATTTGCCTTTTGTTATAGTCCTTGCCATGGCCTACTCATTCTAAATTCTCCTCTCTTCCTTCCCTCTTTGATATTCGGATAATCTATGTCATGATTTGCTTCTCACAGAACTTCTCCAGTACATCTCTACTCTTCACTCCTCCTACTCAAGTATGTCAACCACGAATAATTAGCTTTGCTATCCCTCAACCTCCGCCTTAGTTAATCAATGCTTTAAATACAGCAAGCTGCTCCCAATCACTGCAGCTCATAGTTGGCGCAAGCCCCGTATATACGCCATCAGTCTGAATACGGGGCGGTATTGGTGGCAAAAGCGTGCACTCTGAATCCTGTGATACATTGTAGGCAACTTGGATGCTTAATGCTCCGCAGGATGCAATTGCAAAAGCGAAGCCCTTTGAAAAACAGGTGAAAATTGAAATGAAGTCATTGATATGAAGGAGATTGATCACACGCCCTTGGTGTTGATGGCTCTGAGCAGTCCTTCATTGTAGCAAACAACCTCCCGCGCCCCTAAAATACCACATTGAATCATGATCATGGGAAATGAAACTGCTGCAGTCACAGGTTATAAGTCTATTCAACAAAGGACGATATATTCTCTTTTTGTCTGTTATTGACACTATGCACAAAAGCAGTGCAAATTTTAGCGTAACTTTATCAACTTAATAATACAATTAACCAATTTTCCTTTTCAATTTTGAGTTTTGGCACTGCCTCAAGGCAGCTCTGGACCGAAGGAGGAACCCGACTTTTATGGACAAAAACGTCATCGTGTTGAGGTGGGCCGTCGTTCAGTTTGAATCTG